AAAAAATAAAAAAAATAAAATCAATCCTAGAGCTGAAACCCTCACTAATTCCACACCAGCAGCATTGAGTTTGCATCCTCATTAAAGACAAAGGTGCCTCCTCAGGAGAAAAGCAGAAAGCACCAGTAATGAACCACAGGAATTAGCGTGGAGACCCGAGGATCCTTCACACATCAAACACCACATAAAATTAATTAGAGTCTGATTTAAGCAACACCAAAGCTAACTCTGCCACCAGCGCTGTTGTCAGCAACCTCCACTCCCAACCAAAGACCAATTTTTCATTTGGAGTAAAGCCTTCCAAAGGATTTTAATTGTTCACTATTCCAACCCCTTCTGATTTTAGTCAGTTCCTCTCTTTTTTTCTTCTTCAGAGGCATGCACCACTATTTATATAAATATTTTCTTTTTGAAATAAAAACTTAGGTTATTTATGGTAACTCATTCTCCTTAACACACCAACCTGTGAATCGGTAACTTTCATACAATTGCTTCTGCATTGGACTAAGATGTCCTAAGTGGAAAAACTTCAATTTAAAACAACCTCAGAGCGGGAGAAAACAAACTCATTTGTTTTTTTTCTCTACCTTGTAGATCACAATAAATGAAGAGAGAAAAGCCATTCTAAATCCTCAGCCACAACACTTGACATCCCTGGGTCACTCTCAGCTGTTTCAAGATTGTTACCACCTCTTCACTTATTAACGCCAGGGCCCAGGAGGAACCTGAGCACTAAAGCCCTAAGAGAGGTGAGAGTCTATCTCGCTAAGAAAAGACTGGACATCTCATCAAAACAAATTAAAGAGCAAAGAAAAACTTTAAGTAGCTGGCTAAGTATTCAGGAGGGAGCAGGAGTTCAGATGTTCCAACTGTTTTAAACTTAAGCACTTGCACAGAGTAGCAAACGCGCCACAGTAAAATCCTCTTTTATAGCTGCACAGCCCACAGGTATCACGTGACTGTACTGCCTACTTAAACTACTTTTTTATTCATTGCTGTCTCAAAAAAACCCTCGAGCTCCTTTCCCCCCCTTCTAAATACAAGCAGGTGAGCGAGGCTCCACCAAAAATAAAGCCACGTGAATTTCAAGAACTGCGTCATGTCACAAGCAAAGCCACCACTCCAGCACAGTCAGTCAGAAGTTAATGAAATCTGATGCATCTCCCTCGAATGAGAACTCCGAGCTCAAGTCAAGGCTGGGATGTTATGTAATACTGCTCGGGAAGCCTACTCCTGCTAAATATTCCCTACTGAATTCAGGCCTCTTGGAGCTCACACAGAACCCAGCACCAGGTGGGGGTTCAGGGCACGGAGCAGTGCTGGACACTGTTCCCAAAGTGACCCACTGAACCTTGGACACTCGGATGAGAACCGGAGGGACAACTGCTTCACAGAACCACTGAATGGTTTGGGATGGAAGGGGACCTTGAAGACCACCCGGTGCCAACAACCCCGTGCCATGAGCAGGGACACCTTTCTCTGGACCAGGCTGCTCCAAGCTGCATCCAACCTGGCCTTGAACACTGCCAGGAATGGGGCATCCACAGCTTCTCTGAGCAACCTGTGCCAGGGCCTCACCATCGCCACAGCAAATAAATTATTCCCCAATATCCAATCTAACCCAACTATCCGCCAGTTTGAAGGCAATCCCCCTTGGTCTGTCATGACACGTTCTCGTAAATAGTCTTTGCTCGTCTTCCCTGTAAATTCCCTTCAGGTACTGGAAGGCCCCAGTTAGGTTTACCCAAAGCCTCCTCTTTCCCAGGGTGAACAACCCCAATTCTCTCAATCATTCCTCAAAGCAGAGATGCTCCATTCCTCTGATCAACTTGGTGGCCTCCCTCCACGTCCTTCACTTCATATCCCTCATTCCCTTCTGTCCGGAGTGACCGGTTTAACCTTGGGCGCTCTGTGCCCGCACAGGCCGGGAACCAGCGGGGCAGCTCCTCCTGCGCGGCCATCCCTGGCGAGCCCAGGCTGTGTCCGCCGCCTGAGGGCGGGCAGAGGGCACCGCGGGCACCGCCCGCAGCCTCCCTCACGCCGTCCCCGGGCAGCCACCAGCAGGATGGGGAAGCTACAGGGCGGCAAGGCCGGCCCGGCCTCCTTGTCCCCACGGCGGGGCTGCACTCACCGGCCGTGCCTGCCCCTCGCCGGGAACCCCCCTCGTCCCCCCGGCCACGCTGCCTCCGAGGCGGGCGGGAAAGCGGCCGCTACTCACAACTCCAACATCCACTGGCCCTGCAACACCAGGCTCCAGTTGGAGCCGCACAACACTCGCACGCTGCTCTGCGGCTCGCCGGGGCTGTAGAAGGAGGACGACAAACAGGCGGCGGGGCCCAGCAGCGCTGCGAGGAGCAGAGCGCGGAGGAACCGCCGCCCTTGGCGCCAGCGGCCCGGCGCCATGTTCGGCCCGCCCGCCCTCAGGAAGTCGGGGTACGAGCGGCCGCCGCGGGGGCGGCGCCTGCGCGGGGCAGGGGCGGCTCCTCGCGCCGCGGCCCCGCCCGCCGCCCGCCCGCCCCTCACGGCGGCCGCGGCCGGGGACGGGCCCCGAGCGGTCCCGAGCCCGAAATCCCGCTCCGACAGGGCCTCTGGGCACCTGCTCCGCCCACAGGTTTCTGTCATTTTTCTGGCTTTTCTTGTAATTGTGCGCGCTCGCGGCGCTGTGTTGCGGGAGCTGGTTGAAAAGCGGCGGTGGCTTCGCTGAGGTGCCGTGAGGGGCCGGTCCCGTGGGATCACGTTAAAGCGAGTGTTCCCCCTTCCAAGGGATTGTCACAGAATCCTAGAACAGTTCGGGTTGGAGCAGACCTCAGTCCAAGCCCGTGCCAAGGCAGGGCCACCCAGAGCAGGTGACACAGGAACACGTCCAGGTGGGTTTGTAATCTCTTCAGGCAGGGATACTCCATGACTTCCCTAGACTGCCTGTTCCAGTGCTACGTCAACCTGAACGTAAAGAATTTCTTCCTCATGCTGAGGTGAAAAACTTCTGTTTTCGTTTATGGCCATTGCTGCTCCTCCTGTCTTTGGGCTGTAGCTCTCTGGCCCAGGCAGGCAGCCCATCCATCCCACACACATAACGCTGTGTTTTTCTTGACTCCAAGGACATTCCTGCCAGCACCATCCTTTTGGCTTGTCCAAGTCCCTCTGAACAGCAGCCCTGCCTATGAGTGCAATGATTGCACTCTTAATTAATGGAAATTAAGAAAATCGACTTCTTTGGTTTGCCTGGTAAATTGACTGAGGAAAAAAAATTAGAAGAGATCACTGTAGAGGTCTAGGCTGCCTTCTTATCTCTTGGGAAAATCCTTGTTTGGCTGGAGATTATCTTGGCATGGAAATAACTTGTGCTGAACAATTTTCTAACAGCTTCTGCAACACAATGCTGGTAAGTCCTGTTGGTAAAACATTCACACTTTTTTTTTCCCTCAGCAGAGGAAATAGTAGCGTTTGCCACCTGTGAATTTTGTTGCACTTTTCCATTTTATTTTATGAGGCTCCTTTACATCACTCTCGTGTTTCCCCATAGGATTCTGGGCTTGATCAAACCATTCTTTAAGGCCTAAATATTGGTCTGACCTTTACTGACACTGAAGCAGACTCAGGGTTAATATTTGGTGACAGAAGCAGAAGATGCCCCTAGCACCATTCTCACTATGCAGAAATGGAACCATGACTGATGTTTTTTTCTTTTTTTGTTACTTCTCAGGAGTGATGAGACCTCAGTGATACTCTCCTCATCAGGTATTCCAGCAGTACCTGCCTTTATCAAAGAAGAGTTTTGCTGACAGCTTCCCAGCACTGCAGAGAACCCTAACTTTCTGAGCCATCTTGCCACTGTAATTAAGGCCAGCTGAGGATTAAATAAGTAAGAGCCTTTCAGAATATGATTCTTGTAATATTTTTCATGTGGTATGTGACCTCAAAGTCTCTATATCACGATTTTTCTATTCCTTTTGTGATTTGTAAAAGAAAAAAAACTTTCTCTAATTTATCATTGCTCTTCCTAAATGGATAGTGTTGTAAAATGGGATGGTTTAGCAATGTTTAGACCTGGGATATGTAGTGAAGAGAAAAAAAAAAATACAGCAGTAGAAATTATTTGAGGAGATACACTAGGCTGAAGTTCCTTTGTGAAAATATAATACAGACAGGACTTTTCTTTTTTTTTTTTTTTTTTTTTTTTTTTTTTTTTTTTTTTTTTTTCTTTGCTGCTGCTGGTAAGAACTTGACAAACTTGAGGGAAACATGCTAATCTTTCTATAGATTCTCTAGGGAAAGAAGAAAAAGTGATTGGCCAAAGCAGAGAGAGGGTGGAGAACTGGTGGAGCCAAATTAAGAGAATTTATGTGTCAAAGAACTGATGTGCAAAAGGGAAGGCTGAGGAACATTTTCTTTGGTGGTGGTACAGGGTGGTGAATAATTATAGTTGTGTCATTAAAGAACATGCAAATGAAGGGGCTGAGAAGGAACAACATGTAAAACGATGTCTCCAAATAAATGGGAGTGTTCCTGTGAATTCCAAAGAACAAGGAAAGCAAAACTTTGTAACTAATTTATCAGTAATTTCTGGCCACATTCTACACAGAGGAGGTTTGCATTTCAAGCAAGTGGTGATCAGGAAGAAGGCAGAGTTGCTTTCATTCCTGAAAGAGAACAGAGTGTTCCTAAACCAGGGGAGACATGTCATGGAGCTGCTAATCCCTGTCAGGTAGGTCAGGCTTGCCAAGATGGAGGTGGTACACCTCAGCTGAACCTCATCAGGAACATGCATTTGGAAATGGAGAAAAAGAGAAAGCAAGGAGGGCCAGTTCGAGAAAACAAGTGTCTGGGCCAGACCTTCTCTTGCTTCTGTGATGACTTTATTTGCTCTGTTCCTTACACAGTTTACTCTCCTTTAGCTTCAGTGGGCTTCTGTTAACCTGACTGCTCCAACTTTTACACTCTGTGTGTGGTGCTCTGCACAGACCTGGAGAGCCACAGTTTTCCAGCTTCCACACTCCAACTTCTATTACAGAAAAGCTTCAGGAGTCCAGCTGTCTCTTTAGGTTTCCACAGCTGTTGATAGAAGTATAGCCATGAACCCCAGGTAAGTTTTGGACAGAATTGAATTAAATAAAAATTCTAATCTGTTTTTGTTTGCTTTAATCTTGATTATAAAATGAGAAGTTCAACAACAATATGGAAAGAACGAGTGAAGCTACATGAAGGGAAAGATGCCAACCTGCCTTTCTCTTCTTCTGTGACACCCAGCCCACAGATATTTGTGTGTTGAAATGATAATTTATCTGGGTGACCAGCCCCTTGCTCTGCACAGAGGATACCACCAAAATACATTGTTTCTTACACTTCCCCATCAGTAATTTCACTGTTTCTCTTGAACTGTGTGAGGAAGATAGGGCTCTGTGTTTTGCCACTATTTTCTGTATAGGGAGCTTGAACTAGGTTACTTTTAAAAGGTCCCTTCCCACTCAAACTTCTGTGTCTTTGTGTTCACTGAACTAAAATTTTCCTCCTGGTTTTCTAGTGGAAAAAGAAGGGAGTTAAAAACTTGAGAGGTTTTAGGTGTGTGATACAGAGGACGAAGTTAGAAAATTCTTTCTGTAACTTAGTTTCTATTAGGTTTATTTTCTGCTTTATTGAATGTTGTCCTATTATTAGTTTGTGTGGGTGTCTCGTGGTAAGGAAAGGTATTCCAGCATTCCTGACACTTTTTCTTTCACTGTGTGCCATGATGGATTCATGACACTGCCTAGAGCAGATTAAATTACTGCAACACTCATTTTCCTAAAATACACTTCATATCACCAGCTACATAATTTTTTCCAGTTCTCTGCTGGATTTCCAGAACTATGCTCCTAAACTTTTGGAATTTTTTCTTGATGGATTGGTTGTGAAACTAAAAAACAAGATCATCACATAGACAATAGCAATGTTGATATTTCCAATTTTAATTTGTACATGTGTCTAACAAAACAACTCAACAGTTGCAAGATACTTTTCACAATGTGAATGCTAAAAGAGGTCTATAACTTAAATAATGTAGTAGAAAGTAAACAAGATGTGGCCAAAAATACATATTCAATGCATTTTCTAACATGGATTTATTAACAATAAAGTTTGTTCTATTTAAGGGGAATGGTTTAGTTTAGAACAGATAAATCAATAAATACACAACACTGTAACTGTTGGGAAGTCACCATGGCTCTGCCTTTGATACCCAAGAAAAATGAACAAAAGCTTTTAGACAAAACCTTGACTTCTGACAAGGAATGTTCATGTCTGTGCTTCAAAAAATGAGACTAAAGAATTCACTGAAATATTAAAGTAATATAAAGAATATAAAATAATATAAAGAGCTTTCTTGTTCATATTCATTGAGTTAATGTGAATTTAATGACTACTCAGCAAAAGGTAAGTGTGCAATGAGAGGAGGAAATAATTTACAAAGTATTCTCCCCAGAATACATCCAGTTGAATGTGTGATATTCAAGAACATCTCTAACTAACTTTGAGTTTTGCTGTTCTCCAGAAATGTGAAGAACTAGTCCTGCCAAGATTTGGAGACAAGTTATCAAGGGTATTGAGCATTGAAAAATAGATCTTATTATCCAAAAAATATCACCTTTCGTTTTATGCTGCTTACACAGGGAAGTTGATGTGCACCAACAGTTCTTCCCTACCCTCCCGAGTGGCTCTCCTTGATCTTGTACTATTAAATAACATTGAAAAATCTGCTTTTTCACCTTGTCTGCATGCCCAGAGGTGGAGTTGGTGATCCAAAGACTGAAACAGAAGCACCCCAGAGTACATCAGTGCTCAGTATACTTCCTGCAGCCAGAGGTGTCCACAAGCTCCAGGGAGCAGGAATACTAGAGCACACCTTGTCCAGGAAGCAGAACTGCCCCTGTGGGAGCAGGAGGACCTGCCTGCTCGCTGCCTCTGGAAAGGTGACTGCTCAGCAGGGGAGCTGGCACAGAAAGAACAAGTGTGGAGCCTGCAGGGCAGCCTGTTCCTCCTGCAATGCCTCTGTGCTGGCATCTTCCCTCTCTCCCAAGGTTCCAAGGGGAGGGAGGGGAAGGCATTGCCAAGCCTTATGTAACCTCCAGCCCTGTAAAGAGGTGCATGCTGGGGCTCCCTCTCCCCACACAGCACCCCAGCATGCAGGCACGCCTCCACTCCCTTCTCTTTGCACCAGGCAGGAGAGACCTCCCACAAGATCATCTCCCACCTCTCCTGTGCATCTGTTCATTTTCTGCCTGTCAAGCCTTTTCAGAATTTAAAAGGTCTTACAAGAGATAAGAGAACAAGCTTTCAAGTTTGAGTGCATCAGATCTGATATCAAATGTGAATTTTTATTGCTTTGGCTTATTTTTCTTACCTTTTTTGTCCCAAAGTGGAAAAGAGAGGGAACTGCTGTGTAAGGAATT